CTCCCTCCTCTCTCCCCCTTCACCCCAAGTTCCCCCTTCCCCGCCGCCACCCCAGCTCCCTCCTCCCCCTGTCCTCTTCTTTCACTGATCCCCATCGCCTCCTCCCTTCCCCCCCCCCCCCCCCCCCCCCGCCCCACAGGACCTTCCCTCATAATCCTGGTTCCCCTCCTCCGCTTGCATACTGCCACCTCCCTCCTGCGCCCCGCCCCCCCATCCCCCCCCCATCCGTTCCCTTCACGTGGGTTTTGCTATATAGATATACATATGTTTTATGTTATGTGTATATATGCATATGTATATATATATACAACCTTCACGCGTAATTGCACGCATACGCATACTTCTTGCAAGTTCAGGCATCCACACAAACGCACGTGCGCAGACGCATGCGCACGCAATGGAGGAAAGAGGGTGAGAGGGAGGGAAGGGGGGGACGGGATGGGGGATGATAGTAATGCGTGTGAAGGGCGTTCGTGAGGGAGGAATGGGTGGGCGGAGGGAGGGATATGGTGCCCTTCCACTACCATGATTCTCCGTTTCTACATAGACCACCCGCACCCCCTCAACTTCCCCCCGCTCTACCGCGCCCTCTCCCTCCGCGCCGCCACCGCGCTCAAATAGGGAGTGAAGGGGGGAGGAACGGTGAGAGGGAAGAGATATAGAAATGGTAACGGATGCGTTGCAGAAGGAAGGAGGTGCGGAGGGGGGATGACAGCCGCTGAAACCACCTCCGCCGCCTGCCCCTCTCTCTCTCTCTCTCTCTCTCTCTCTCTCTCTCCTACCACCGCCACCCTCGATGTTTGGAGGAATAACGGTTACGCGTAGTGGAAGGATGCGAGGCAGGGGGGGGGTGGGGGGAGGAAGTTGCGGCGATGCTGTAGGGGACCAATGAGGGAGGCACGGGATGACGAAGGAGAGAAAGCGAGAGAGAGAGAGAGAGAAAGGGAGAGAAGGAGAGAGAGGGAAAGAGAGAACGATAGAGCTGCTGGTAGTCGTGTTACTGGGGGCATGGTTCCCTCATGTCCCCCCTCTGCCTCCCTCGCGGATGCCATCCCAATTCCCTTCATCCGCCTTCTCCCCCTCCCCCCTTCGCACCGCCGCCCTTCCCCCATCCTCTCTCCCTCCTAGTCGCTATCCCTCCCTTATTCGAGGCTCGCGAGAGCGCGAGAGACGGCGAGAGGGGTGGGGCAGGGGGCAGGGAACGATGGGGGGAGCGGATGGGGACATTGAGATGTGGTCGCGGTGGGGGGCGGCCGATCTGGACGAAAGGAGGTGAGGGGGAATTGGGACGGGGGAGGAGAGGGCGAGGTGGTGGTGGCGGGAGAACCTCAAGGCCTTCCCTCCTTGCTCACGCCACCACCGGCCCCTCCCTCAAGGTCGTTGGTGGTGGAGGGATGTCGGGATGGGGGGCGGGAAGGGAACAACGAAATATGGGAAATGGAAGTAGGAGAGGAGGTGGCGGCGGTGTTGGTGGCGGATCTGCCACAAAAAGAATCAATGTGTAAATCCGCCACGAAAGGAATCATTTTGCAAATCCGCTTCCAAAGGATTCAATTTGCGAATCCGCAACAGAGAGAGAGAGAGAGAGAGAGAGAGAAAAAACAAAAAAAGGGGGTAGAGAGAGAGAGGGGGGGAGAAAGAGGTAGAGATAGAGAGAGGGAGAGAGAGAGAGAGAGATAAAGAGAAAGTGAGAGAGAGAGAGAGCGAGAGAGAGAGAGAGTGGGAGAGAAGGAAAGGGCAGAGAGAGAGAGAGAGTGGCCCACGGGAGTCCCACGGCAATCGATTGTATGCCGTCAAACGAGGAGGAGGAGGACAGGAGGGAGGAGAAGCGAGGAAGGTAGAGAGGATGGGGAGGAAGGAGGAGGAATGAAAAGGGAGGAGGGGGGAGGAGTGGAGCGGAAGGAGAAAGGACGAGGAAGGAGGAAGAAGGAGGAAGAATGGAGGAGGGAGAATGGAAGGTGGCGGAAGAAGAACGAGGAGGATAACATAGAATTGTGATTCGCCTCCCTGGCCCTCGTCATCTTTGTCGTCATCTTTGTCGTCGTCGTTCGCGTCGTCGTCCTCGCCGTCATCGTGGCATAATGTTGTCGTTCGGCCCCCGCGGCCCTGCCACGTGACGAATACAACTGAATACGATGTATTTGCGCCTCCAAGCGTTGCCACGTTGCGAGTGGAATGGTATAGTATTGTCTGTCGGCCCCCGCACCGTTGCCACGGGACGAATAGTGGAATCGTATTGTTTCGGTCCCCGCCAGGCGTCGCAACGTTGCGAATAGAGTGGGATAGTAGTTGTTTCTGGCCCCCGCGGCGCCGCAACGTGACGAGTAGAGTGGAATAGTATGTTGTCACCCCCTCAAGCGTTGCCACGTGGCGGCCACCCAACCAACCAACAAACCAACCAATCAATCAACCAACCAACCGACCGACCGACCCAGCGGGCCAACCAACGATCTTGTTGCGTTGCAATACGCTGCGTTGCATGTGCAATGTACGTGCAGCACATTGCATTGCCGTACATGGCGGGCGAGAGTGGGGGGGGACAGGAGGGATGAGAAGGGAGTACTGTAGAGATGAGCGGTGGAAGGAGGAGGAGTGAGGAGGGAGCAGGGGGGAGGAGGTGAGGGGGAGGGGCGAGGAAAGGGGGAAGAAGGAAGGGTGGCGGAGGAAGACAGGAGGAAATGGGGAGGGGAAAGGACGAGGGGGAAGATAGGATAGAATTCTTGTTCGCCTCCCTGGCCCTCGTCATCGTCGTCGTCGTCATCGTCGCCGTCGTTGCGCTCGTGGCATAATGCATAATGTTTGTTTCGGCACCCGCGGCGCTGCCACGTGACGGCTATAATGGCATACGATTCGCGCCTACAGGCGTCGCCTCGTGGCGTATGGCGTGGCATGGTGTTTGTACGCTCCCAAGACACTTCCAAGATGACCCCAAGATGGTCAAGATGGGCTCCAAGAAGGCCCAACAACGCCCCACTAAAAGGTCTCCCAATCGAATCAGAGAGGTTTCCGGCACGGGTTCCGACGGCGTCCTATGTGCTAGGAACGCTCCAGGGATGCCAAAGAGAACCCCAGGAAGCCCCCAAAGGCTCCCAAAGGCAAGAGGAGGCCGCAACTAGGCCTCCCTGCGACCCCGAGGAAGCTCCCAAGAAGCCCCAAGAGTCCCCCACGAAGCCCACAAGAACCCTCATCTGCCTCCTCCTCCTCCTCCTCCTCCTCCTCCTCCTCATTGTCCCTTGCTCTCCTCCTCATGTTCTTCCTCCCCCACTTGTTCCCTGACGGTTTTCCACAACGGCTGGGGGAACGCATCGTCTGATAGCTTCGTATAGCTCTAGCCGCAACGTTCGGCCACATAGGAGGTTCCAAAAGGCAGGGGGCGCGGTGACTCGCCGTAGGCGCTTTCGATGTATGCACGGGAATCCCACCAGCCCTTTAGGGCGTGAGCGGTCTCGATAGATGTCGAGCGATTCCTCGTCCAAACCAATTATTCCCCATCGAGGGGGGGGTACCCCTCCCCTCCCCCTACCCCTGGACCTGGACGGGGGGTGGGGCGCGAGGCGTAGACGTCCAAGATGGCCTCGGCGAGAAAGCCAACATCACTGGTGTCACTAAAGGTTTTGGCCACATGCTGGCCTCCTGGGGGGGACCTAATATAGGACCCCGCCAGATGGCCCCGAGACGGCCCCAAAATGACCCCGCCGAGGCACCACACACGCACCAGGATTCCCCCGGGGTCGTCAAGAGCCCCCCAAAACGCCCGAAGAGGACTCCAAGAAACTCTCGAAAGATACCCGACGAGACTCCTAGAGGCATCCAAGAGGCCTCTGGCCTTCCTGCTGCACCTCCTCCTCCTCCTCCTCCTCCTCCTCCTCCTCATCATCATCATCATCATCATCATCATCATCAACAACAACACCATCATCGTCGTCAACATCAGCATCAGCATCAGCATCAGCATCAGCATCAGCATCATCATCAGCAGCATCATCATGCTCATGATCAGGATCATCAGCATCATCAGCATCATCAGCATCATCATCATCATCATACTTACCATCAGCATCATCATCATCAGCATCATCATCACCATCACCATCACCATCATAATCACCATCAACATCAACATCATCATGATCATCATCATCATGATTATCAGCATCATCATCATGATCATCCCATTTCTCGTCTGCCTATTCGTCATCCTTCCTCCTCACTCCTCCCCCTCCCCCACTCCCTACTCCTCCCTCTCCTGCTCCTCCTCCAATTCCCTGTCCATCCTCCCCCTCTTGGGGTATGGCGTCTTATCCAACCCTCTATTCCACTGCCTGCTCCTCCACATCCCTGAGCATGGCAACTCGTCTGGGCATCGTTTCTGGATGGGATGGTTGGGTTACGCGAAGCGTCTAGAATATGCACACACGCAAATGAACAAACACATCGGTGACGAAAAGACACGGGTCCTGCGCAAGATGGCACAGCGGCCTTACGCGGTATATTACGCGGGCCGCCAGCGCTGCTCGATACATTGCAAACGAGGGCGCTTACGCGCGACCTTGCGCGGGCAGCTTACGCACGAATGTTCGAGCAGACGACCCCGCAATTCTCCGTCTCATGTAGCACAAGGAAACGAGGCACTGAACAAAAATATCAAACAAACACAACAACTAACAATAATATGGGCCCTCGACTCCCACCTCAACCACGAAGCCAGGGACAATGAATGACCAGTCGGCTCCCTTCACCATGATAACAAAGGGAATATGCACAAACACACACGCATAGAAACAACCACATGTTGAACACATGAATAAGAAGTGACACGTCCACAATCTCGCCATCGCTCGGGCATCAATTTCCTGTGCATTGTTCGATTCCGTGCGTTCGTTGTTCGTGGGATGACCAAAAATGTTCCTCGATGGCACTCGCCGAAGACATCCGAGCGATGCCAAGCAAAATGCAAGTCGATCGCGGGCATCCCCCGCGCGTGCAAGAATTGCCGCTGCCTGTGCGCTGCACCGGGCGCTCTCGCCCTGCTCAGGCCCTCCGCTGCTGGGGCGGACGCCCGGCAAACCACAAAAAACTGAAGTGCACCCAAGTGTTCGCCCCTGGTCGCTTCACGGAGCTCGGCTGGGGTAGGCGGGTGGAATTAGGCTGGGTCGGCGGGTGGAATATCACTGTTGTCATCTTCCGCAGGCCATTTGGGCCCAGGAGTTTGCTAGGCGTGAGGGTGCACAAACGCCCACAGCTGGATCCCAAGCCAGCAGCAAACAACAGCTCTCTCACACGTAGTTGCGAAAAAGTTGTCGGTGCCTCGCTGCCCTCCCTCTTGTTCGGGGTCGCTTCACTGAGGGCCAACGATATGCGTGAGACTTCGGTGGCAACGCGCAGGTTGGGTCGGGCCCAACCCAGGTATACATTGGGGGGTAGCGCGGTGACACCGCATGACTGGCAAGATCTGGACGGTCACCAAACATAAGTTGCCAGGCGCGCGTTGGTCTTTAGATGCTCATGGCACAGCGCGGGCCATGGTGGAGGAAAACAGTGGGACGCGCATGGGTAATATTGTGTGAGAGCTGGCGCTTGCAATTCTAATTGTGGATCGCCTGAAGCATGCACTCCTTGAGTTCCCGATGCTTCTGCATCCCCCGGGATACTCCTGATTCCTCGGTTGGCCTCCGGCGGAGCCCCAGGCAACCGAACAAGAACGATGCCTGGACGCCGCCATCGTTTCCGTCCCCACATGGTGCCAGCGGGGAGGGGCTGGCAAAAATATGTTTGCCGCCCCCCCCCCCGCGTGGTGCCAAACAAGGCCACCGATCTTTTGCCGGCCCCATTTTTTACAGGGTTGGCGAAAATCGGCGGTGACCGCCGGCTGGGGCTGGCAAACAATATGTTTGCCGGCCCGACACCCCTGGCACCAGCGGGACGCCACAGGAACCGACACCGGCGAATCCAGTGCCGAACTTGACCCAACGGCGCGGTGAGTGGCATTTCATCTCGACGGTGCTTCTGAGATTCATGCGACGCCATCTGCCCCGGTATGTGCACCCCTGCCCCCTGCCCTCGTCGTCCTTTCCCCATCCCCCATCTCCCACTCCCCCCTCCAATTGCTCCTCCCTCATCCCACTCCTCCCTTTGTCTCTTTTGATCTAACACAAATTGTATATGGGTCTCTTCGCACTAGCCTGGCGATGTCACCACGGCCCTCAAGATGGTGACGATTTGGTGCCCATCCTGTGGCCGCCTATATGATATCTATAACTCCAAGGTAACGCCACTTTTAGCTGGGTTGGGCCCGACCCAACGCACAGGAGTCTCCCGTACCATCTTGTTGGCTCTTGCGAGTCGACGCTATAAGATGGTCGAGGCTAGATCGGCGCTATCTCATCGATTACCAGAGGCTGATCGACGCGAGTGCGCTCTAAAGATCGGATCGCAAATAGATACATGGCTCCCACGATTTGCCACAGAAGGAGCCGGCTCAGGGGGGGAAAACATCGAGTTTGGATCGACGATACATCGCCGGGCGATAGACCCCCGATAGCGAATCCACACGTGCCTTGGAGGTGGTGGGCCATCGGGCTCCTTTCGGCGATGAGTGGACGACTGGGGGTCGATGCGTTCCCCCTTGAGCACACCCACTCCAAACGATGCCCCTGACTTGTCCGCTTGACGGTTGCCCCCCATCTCATCTTGCGTTTGACAGGCGTTCCTGACCTTGCGCTTAAGGCATGCCCTTCACCATAAAACTGACAGGCATCCACCCACTTGCGTTCGACGTACCTTCCCCCCTGCTTCTCACAGGCGCCCCCGTGACCGGCGTCCACACCCTCTTGCTGCGCTTGACGAATGCTTCGTCAAACGCTCGACGGGTACCCATCAAGCGTTTGCCGGGTGCTCTCTCTTACGCTTGACAGGCGTCGCTCATCTAGTGATTGACGGATGACACCTGTCTTGCGCTCAACAGGGGCCGCCCCCCAGCAACTGACGGGTAGTACCCCGACCTCACGGCTGTCGGATGCCCCTCCCCCTCTAGCGCCTGACTGGTGTCCCCATGCGCTACGACATGCCACGCTAAGCTCCAGACGTGGAGGGGAAAAAAGGAACCAATACTGCTACTCGACGGGCCTCTCCTGGGGCGTATTCTGACTAGAAGTTCGGGGAGAATCCAGCCATGGCGACGAGGGCTCTCCAGGACGAGCAGCGGTATCGGTATTTATCTGTGCCTCTTCTGTCTGCAGAGTGCCTAGGAGCAGATGTCGCTTCAAGGCGAGGCAGGAATCCGCCAGCATGACCGCGCGGCTCAGGAAAATTACTCGGACGGAAGGACCCCACATGAGAATCCTGTGGGCGAATCTGGAAAAAACTCTCACCGTCATCCTCGTGGTTGGTGAGGCGTCCTGGCTGTCTCTTCTGCGTATATTTCTTCTCGCCCTGGCGCGGGCCCTCCCCCCGCTCCCTACGTTGCCCCCGACCTCGCCCTCCTGTTTTGGCCCCGGACATTCAGAAAGTGGCCCAGGAGTGGTGTTCTAGGAACACGAAGAACACGAAGTGGCCTAGAGCTGGCTCCGGGCATTCAAAATGTCGCCCCGGAATGGTGTTCTGGGAGCACGAAGAACACGAAGTGGCCTACAGTTGGCTCCGGGCATTCAAAATGTGGCCTGGGAATAGCTTTCTGGCAGCGCGAGAGCCCAAAAGTGGCGACAGTTACAGGAATTGGATGACCCGCTCGGATTCGTAACATGATCAGCGGGCCCCATAGGGAGGGGGCTCCCGCTTGAGATTTCCTCGCAATTCACTCACACATGTGGCCTGGGAGTAGCGTTCTGGCAGCGCGAGAGCCCAAAGTGGCGACGGTTACAGGAATTGGATGACCCGCTCGGATTAGTAACATGATCCGCGGGCCCCATAGGGAGGGGGCTCCCGCTTGAGACTTCCTCGCAATTCACTCACAGACGAGGCCCACGGCGAGTGAGTGAGTGAGTGAGTGAGTGACTGACTGGTGATGATGATCATCATCACACTCTCTCACGCGCACACTCATCATCATCATATGTGAGTTCATGAGCGTGTGAGTGAATGAGTGCTGATGAGTCAGTGAGTGAGTGAGTGAGAGAGTGAGTGAGTGAGTGTGTGAGGAATGATGAGTGAGTGAGTGAGGACTGAGTGATGGTGATGATGATGATGATGATGATGATGATGATGATGATGATGATGATGATGATGATGGTGGGTTCCTGTTCCTGCGCGGGGTGTCCAGAGAAAACAAGAAGCCCACTTTGGATGTGGGGAAAAACACAGCCAGTGCCAAGGCGGTCCGCGGCGACAGCACAATCGAAACCTATCAGAACCGACACCGAAACCGAAACCGAACGAAGCCGACAGGCCCCGAGCAGCCTGGAAGGGCGCAACGACACGGTAACGACACCATAACCGACCGAATCGAACCAACTGGACGCAGCCGAACTGCGACGCAGCCGAACCGACCGAACCACGAGCACCCCTGGTTGCCGACTTTCGCCGCCGCAAGGAAGCGGGAGAGGCGAGCTGGCTCCTGATGCGGAACTGCGAGAACCGCACGTCGTACGGAGACACCAGCGCCAGGCGGCAGCCCTGCACACGCTTTTCGCACTCCCGTCCCAGACAACCTTAGAGGAACAAACAACTGCTAGTTGGGAGCCGAACTGTTCTTGAGACAAAGTGTGCAGTAACCAGCACGTGTACTCCTAGAGACAAGGTGGAAGAAGCAATAAAAGATCTACCTGATGCAGCCTTAGATTGAGGGGCTTCGCCACAGAAAGGTCCCAGACACGTTCTCAGATCCACCCTGGAGGCCCAACGCCGATCTAGGAAATCCGCGCGAAACGCAAACAACATATCTTAATGCAATTCTTCGGATTCGAAATCTGCGCCCGCACATTTTTCCTCCAACCGTTATCCACCATTTCCATCCGTGCTCATGAGCTGCTCGTCTCTCTCACATCATTCACGCAGGCTTGGGGGCACTCTCGGGCTTCCACTGCTCCTGCCACGTGGCAAGCATGTCTCGCGACGTCTTTGCGCACCGCTGTGACATACGATGAATGGCAGAATGAGCCATGCCAACAAGCCGAGAAACGATGGCAAACAACAGAAGACGTACGAGAACACCCGGGATCCTGCCACCGCAACCGACAATCGCTCCCCTCCTTGCCAGAGAAGTCGCCGTGTATTTGCAAGTGCTGACCGGGCAAGCTGGCCGTACGAGCCGTACGAGTCGAACAGAAAAGCGATGCTCGACCACGCACGTGCGGCGAGCCGCGTGGGTAATTTTGGCGAAGGGGATCGCGGACGACAGGACGATAGACGTGCACATCTGTCACGACATTTTTGGGTGTCGAAGCAATGTGTTGGACGCCCGAACTATCCAGGATAACACCAGCCTTGGCCTCCTCCAATTTTTTGAGACTCCTCGCACGAACTAGGAATAAGTACCCGCCACCCCCAACCCAGATGATTCAGGAATGGTTGGACGCCCGAACTATCCGGGATAACTCCGGTCTGGCCCCCCAAGGCGCGAGTCAGGAGCTACCCCTGACCACCCCCAGCCCCGATCACTCGGGGCTCTGAACGCTGGGGGAGTCCAAGGGGAGGCGTCCAGACAGGGGAGCGCAAAGCATGGCCGGAGGCATGTGCGCGGCCAATGGGGAGGGGCTGGGCGTACTTAAGAAGAAGCGCCATGAAATCTGGGGAGATGTCATGGTCCCCACCATGACCAACCCCCCGCCATGATATCCACCCGCCCTCTTGGCCGCCCCCGAGAATGTGGGCCACACCACTGTCGGGCCAGAGCCAGGGCGGGCCGCGGACTGGCAAGTCGCGTACCTGTGCTGCGGGAGGAGCACGAGGAGGACGCACGGCCAGAGCACGATACGTCAGGGCTGCACGCGGGAAAGAGAGGAAACGCGAGGAGAGAGGACGAGCATAAGCCAAGAGGCCCAAAAGAGGCCCGAAAGCGGCCGCCAGGAGGCCTTCTAACTGCCTCTCACAGGCCTCCGACAGGCCCCCCAGAAGGCCCAACGAACATCCAATATGCTTTATAGAACAACCCAGGCACGGTGGCAGGATGGGCCGACGGCCATCAGGTAGGACGCGCATGATGTCATGAGCAGATTGGCTCAGGATATGTCCCAGGAATTTGAGAGTAACTCTGGCGGCCCTCATTTCTGGGGCCTGTGCGGAACACCAGGGAGTCCTGAAGATCTTGGAGGCCTTGGAACTCTTGGAAGGCACCATTCTCAAGACTTCTTGCTCCTCTCAGGAGACACCCGCCCGGGATGCATGCCATGCGCCCACTGGGGACGGGCAGGTGGCCCGGCACGAGAGGTGGGGCGCGACCGCAGCGGCGACACGGCGCAGTGGGAGACGACTGCTGGAGGCGCGCGCACCGAGAGGCCCCAAGAACCAGGCAGGCCCGCGCTCAGGCGGCGAGCCCAGGGCACAGAGCGATAAAGAAGTGGTCCTCACGCGAGATGGCAGAGCGACATTGCGCGGCGGCCTACGCAAGCCGTCTGCGCAGCACGCCAAAGGAAACGAGCGCGCGTACGCGCGACCTTACGTGGGCAACCTACGTATGCGCGCCTGCGTCCGCGCAGACGACAGTGTTCCTCCGTCGCTCAGCAGCGAGCCCAGGGGGGAAGGCAGATTTGGCGGGCCTTCTCAGAAAGCTCGGAAAGCCTCGGTCCTTTTGAGAGGTGTCTGAGCCTTCCGCGAAGGCAAGGGTAACTTTCAGAAGGCGCGAGGGCTCCTGAGAAGCCCCGCCGGAGCGCGCCCGAGTCGGCACGGGATCGGATCGGGACGGGACCGCCTGGGATCGCAAGCAGGCTCGGCGCATGAAGCAGAACAGAACAGAGCGTCCGATCGAGCGTCCTAAGACGTCTCGTCCCGCTTGCGGGAACGGCGTGAATCATGCAGTGCGGAAAAACATGCACGGGTGAGAATCAAAAAGACACCCCTCAAGCCTCTAGGGTATTGCTACACGACGGTGTGCTTGTATGACAAATACTCAATCCGAAATTCATCTGAAAACCTGCCGTGCGCATTGTGCAACTCACGCTCCAAACTGGTGTTGAAACGATCTCGGGAAAACTTGTCGACTGAGTCAGTCCATTTGGTTCTCGGGCGGCCAACTCTGCGTGAGCCTTCTGGGCGCCAGCGCATGGCTAGAGACGGCCACCCTTGCCTCTCGACGCACATTCTCCTCAGGATGTTCCAGCGTGTTGTATCTATGACTTCGAGCCAGTCAGACACCTTGTAAATTGACATTGCTCTTTCCACTCACGGATGAAGCGCATGAAGCAAGGAGAGGGAATCGGCTCATGCTGGATCGATTCGATGGCATCTTCGGTGAACACTACATCCGTGTCGAATCCATATCGATCCGCGTTGAATCGACGTCGAATCCGCGTCGAAATTCACGTCAAGCCCGCGTCGGGCACAAGACAACAACAACAACAGTGCTGGGGGCAAGCAGGATCCCCCGAAGATGCAGCGCCAGATCGGATCGGATAGAAATCGGAATCGAAGTCGGGAGATCTGTTCGGATCGCGCCGGACCGTGGGCAGCCCTGCCGTGGAAGAGGCAGCTTCACGGAAGGCGGCAGGCTGGTGGAACGAGCGAGGGGCCGAAGGCGCAGCGCGTGCACAAACGAGGCAAGCGGTGCGGCCATCGCGGAGTCATCCGACTGACACGGATGCACCAGAACGAGAACGGCTCACGTGCACCGTACCACGTTTCCTGATAGCTCCGTGAGAGAGCTATGAGGGTCTCAGACAAGAAACTGGCAAGCTGGTCTGTGCCAGCTTGCTCTCCACGGCTGCCGGTCAGGCAGCGTGGCAGCGCCCTGCTGGAGCTTGCAGCGTGCTTCGCCAGCGCTTTCCCAGCGTTTGCCAAGTTTTTTTTCGCAGCGCTTCCTAGGCTCGCGCGCAGCGCCCAGCATGCAGCAGTACGAGGACGGCGCACATTCGTACTCCCTGCAAGCCCCGCTCCAGCGCGGTACGGTGCATAGCTCTTCGGCTCTGTGAGGGCCGAAAAGCGACGCTGGGGAAACCACAAGGTACCCATACCGCTACTCCACGGCCCTCTCCTGGGGCGCGCGCTGACAAGAATGCAGAGACAAATCCAACTGACGACGAGGGCCTCCCAAGAGACCCAAAAAGGTGAAAATGAGGCAAAGGTAAAGGTTGCCTGCTCCGAACACCAGTCCCAGGTGAGGATCGACGACGCGTCGGGAAACGCCGAGGCGGCACGTCGC